TATAGTAAAGAAAGATGTACTCCAGATTTCATTGGGCTTTCTTCTTTATCCTTTCTCTCTTACTTCAAATAATAAATGGTAAATTAAAGTACTATAAATAAACCACTTACTGTTATCATTATAGGAGATCCAGACTCTTCATCATTGATATCCATACAAGCAACATCTAAAATAAATACAACCACATATTCATTAACAACTGAATCCAGCTCACTAGTATCTTTAACTTCAGCATCAGCATCTACACTAACAAATTTTATTGTTTTACCAGAATCCACATTGCCACCGTCAACTAAATTTAGATCTAGTAAGAAAAATAAAAATAAAAAATTTATTGGAATTACATTAAATTTTGTAGCTACAAGTGAACTATCTCCAGCAGGCCTTGCTGGTATTGTAGTATGCGGCATTGAAGTCTAACATTATTAGTACTGCTAATAGTTGGAGCTGTTGTTTTAATCGGTAAAAGGTGTGGATACAGTAAGACACTCACATTCACACTGTTTCATTCTAGCTAGAGCTACTATTCAATTTATTTTAATCAGATTACTTAAATAATAGCTATCATGAGGTAAATATTTATTAATTTTTATTATCCTAGGAATAAATGATGATGTAGTTGCAGTCTTGACTGATACTTCAAGGGAATCAATAAATCCATTAATCAACCAAGTGTGAGAGACAATTCAACTTATGAGTTAGTGTCAATTAGAAGGGTTTATGGGTCAGTGTATATTCCCGCCGTTTAAATTTCCAAATGTTTGAGATTTAGATATTATGGTAACTACTCAATAATCTAATGTCTAAACAATTGACATTTTGCAAGTTATGAGTAAAATAATAATTTCATAAATCCTAATAAATTTAATTTTTGTAATTAAAATGGTGATGCCAATAACTATATGTACAAAACATTTTGTAATTTTACAATTGGTGTTTTAGGAGTAAAATTCAGTTGCATAAATATTTAGAACATTGGATTTGTAATTTTAGTTCTGAATTTGCAAATTTCCAAAGTTACATATTGTCTCATTCAAGAAAGTCAAGCATAAAATAATATTTTCAAAAATCCTAAAAATTGAATGTTTGCAATTAGAATGATAATGCCAATATGCCATAGTGCATTATATTGTGTAATTTTACAGTTAGTATTTGATGTTCAAATTTCAATAATATGAAGATTTTAAACTTTGGATTTTTAATTTTAGCTACAAAGTTCCAAAGTTCCAAATTTCAAAATTGTCTTTCCAAACCAGAAATGCTTAAAATAATAATACTTTCAAGAATTCCAAAGTATGACTAATTTTAAGAATTTAGATTTGGGACTTAAATGGAGTTCCAAATTTCAAAAACATCTGAAATTCTAGCTAAATTTTGTACTCCCAAACTCCCTGTGGTAACCTGATATTATGCTTACAATGTACATGCATACACTGTACTCTACATGCCATTAATTATGCTTTTATGTAGATGTAATTATAGTTG